CTGAGGATCCCCGGCGCCTTTTTTCCTTACCCTGGGATTTCTTCACCCTGGCAATGGATTTCTGTGCCCCTTCTTTCTTTCCCTCCACCCCCCCAACCCACCCCACACTCCAGCCCACCCAGCTCTCTCCCCCCTTTGTAACCCCCTACACCCTTCCCGGCAACCCAATCCACCATTGAACCCACCATTTGCTCCTTGAAAAGTACAAAAATAAATAATGAATTCTCTCCACACCGATGTTGAAGCTCTTGTACGTGCTTCCTATATGCTTTCCCCGCTCCTCACGTCAGCGACTCGCGGGCCCGAAGCAATCCGACAGCCGCCGGCGAATGCTCGAGCCCTCCGCAACCTCATCCCCGCGGGTCGCGGGATGGACCGCCGCGGCAGCAGCCGCCGCCACCGGCACCGGCACCACGGCGGCTGCGGCGATGTCGTCGTCATCATCGCTCCGCCGCCACATGCTCCGAGACCGCGCCGCCGCTGCCGTACGGCTTCTTGTTGTAATCCACGCAGGACTTCCGGTCCTGCGACTGGCGCTGGATTTGATGAAGCCGCGTTACAGGTGAGGGGGTGGGGTGGGGGGACTTGGGGACTTGGGGGAGACTGAGGAGATTAAGTTTGGTGACAGCGCGTACGTGTGTGTATGTATGTTTGTATGCTTCGAGAAGGAAGATCGCCTACTTCTGACTCCACCCCCCGGGCTCCCGACGAGTCGTGAAGTGGAAAAGAGGGAAGAGAGCGAGCAGCAGCAGCAGCTTAGGTGTTTTGGTAGAGCTTTGCGGGGTAGAGGAAAACAAGAGCCGCCGCTGGCGGAGGCACGTGACCTAGCCGCTCAGGCTAGGCAATTGTCGTACGTGTACGGCATATACTGCATGCAGGACGACACCCGCCAACGCCGCGCCGCCGGCCTGGAGCGCAGCTGCGCCTGGTAGTTCCAGTCACAGCAGCAACTTCTGGGGCTTTGGCAAATTCTTGAGTAGCAAGGGCGCCGTTGGTAATGGCGGCGGCGGCGGCGGTGGTGGCGGCGGTGGTGGCGGCGGCGGTGGCTGGCTGTCTGCTTTTGCCGCTGCCACGGGTTTGGGCGAGGCTCTGTACGGCCAGCCGCCGCCCCTGGAGTCCCGGCCTCTGCTGCTGCACGACGCCTGCATGCTGGCGGATCTTGTGCTCACGGCATTGCCGTACATGGCTCCGGAGCTGTTCGCTGCGTGGCGGAGCTGGTTGTGGCCGGTGATGTTGGTGGTGGTGGAGGAAGTGCGACTGGTGGGTAGGGATGGACGGATGCAGGGTCTTGAGGCTGGGGCGGGGGCGGGGGGTGAAGTTGAAAGGCTTTGCGGTGGGCAGGATTAGGACTGGGCCGGGGAATAGGTTTAGTGGTTTAGAATATATGACTTGGGGGTTTTGAAGAGGAATTTAGAGGAGGAGATATTTCATACGGGGATGTGCGTATGTATGTGTGTGTGTGTGAGAGAGAGGGGAACGGCAAATTAGGTACCATTAAAATATATGAATGCAGTTTGGCAGCAAGGGACAGCAGTACCAGGCAGTTGGGGACGTGTGTGGGGGGGTGAGTGGGAAGGGAAGGTTCCGGACGTTGGCGGCTTTCGTTAAGATGATGAGTAGTAGCCACCTTGTGAAGGTGAGGCGGCTTCACCCCTACAACCGCTATCACGACTCCTACCATGATCATCATCTTTGCAAGCACCGCTTAATGATAAAGATGGTAAGGACAGTGCCAATATGTTATCCTCCCCCTCCTCCCCTCCCCTCCTCCCTCTCCCCCTCCTTCTCCCCCTTCGGGCAGCGGCTTCACCCGCTCCCGGGTCGTCTTTCCCCCCTTCTCCCCCTCCCCCTCATCATCATCCTTTTATGGCTGGCTCTTTGCTGCTTGGCATCACATGACGGACTGCCCCTCCCCCCTCCCCCCTCTGGCCCTCGTTAGTTTGTGCCCGAGGGCCTGGGTGTGTGTATCGGCGGCCCCAGTCGCCCCCTCTATGCCCTCTTCTTCGCCTCCGCGTTGTGGCGGCTACTGGAGCTCAACCCCACGACCTTCCAGTGGGCCACCGCGCTGCGACTGTCCGCGCTCATGTACCATTCCACGCTGCTGTACGACAGCGGTACGATGTACGGCACCAACGGCAACACGGCTGGCCAGCTACACCCTCTTATCCGTACTGCCGTTTTGTCCGTCGGCGGTTATGTGGCGTCGCACCTCCTGCTGACACAGGCTGTGCCGGCGGCGAACCTGGCGGCGGCCGCGGCGGCGGCGGCGGGGCGGCGGCTGCCCGCGGCGCGGCGGTGGCTGTACGGCATGTTGTCAACTTCGGATGGTGCGGTGCTCTTGGGCCTTGCGGGCCTTGCTGTCGTACATATCGTAACGACCGTTGTGGACCTTGACGCTTACCGGTCCTCGGAGGTGGATATGGTTTCGGAGCTGGTTGGTTTGGTCAAGGTAAGGTGGTGTGGGGTGGGGGCAGGCTGTAGGTTCCTTCCCTCCGGCCTGTCCTCGTTCCTTTTCTCAGCTGCCGTCCCTCTCCCTCTCCCCTTTTACCCCCCACACTCCCCCGCCACACACCCATACACACACATACACACAGGAAGTGGTAATCACGAGCTCTCAGGGCTATTTCCGAAGGGGGGAGGCGCTGCCACCGGCTGTGTCGTACAGCCTGATGGGGGGTCTGTCGGCGGCGGTTCTGGTGGCGGCGCTGCGGGCGGTGTACCTTGTCAGCCACGAGAGCCAAGGCCGGGATGCCGAGTGGTGAGTGGAGGGGTTAAAACGAAAAGGGGGCCAGAGGGGAGAGGGACAGCGGAGGAGAAAGGGGCTCAATAGCGCGCGCCGTGTCTGCATGTAGAGGTGGAGGAGTAGCGAGTGGGGCCTTGCGCGCGTGGGGGCTGTGGGGTAGTGTATGTCTCCACACACGAGCGTACCTGTGTATGTATGTATGTATGTATGTATGTGTGTATGTGTGTATCTGTTTGGCAAGTGGCATTTACCACTGCTGTCGTCTAACCCCCCTCCGCCCTCCTTCGCTCCAAAACCCAAGTCCCTAGCCTCCTTCTTCCCTTCCTTCCTTCACCTTCCTGTCCTTTGGTTCCCGCACAGGTACCGGCAGCACGGCGCGGCGCTGGCGGCCTTGCATGACGTGGCAGCCCGAGAAACGGATGTGGACGAGCTGTTGGCTACCCTGGAGCTGGAAACATTGGACATGTACAACCGTGAGGCATACGGGTAGCGGGGGTTGGGGAGGGGCGGGCAAAGTCACTATTTTTTACAGGCTTTTTTTGTTCTTTTTCTTCAGAATCAACCGTTGACTTGAAAAGCCAAAAGCCCGGCATGGTGGCAGTGAAAGCGTGGATTGAGTACTCGTATAAACGTTGTTGTGACGGTGGTGGTAGTGGTGGTGGTGGATTAAACCTAGTCCGAGAACACCGCAATTTGTTCAATAATCATTAATTGATGAAATTGATGGTGGTGATGGTGATGGTGGAGGTGATGGTGGTGGAGATGGTGATGGTGGTTTGTGCCGTCGTATACCGTTGTAGGCGCTGTCTATCTGCTGTGCGGCGCTCCTCAGAGGCCAGATTGCCTCATCAGGCAATGCGGGGGCCTCCGACCTCGCCCGCTAGTGCCCTGGCGTTGCGGGGTCCGGTGACCTGGTGCCTCTCTGGGGGGCCGGGCTGGGGGGGGGGAGGTCGCGGAGATGAGACCCGCAGACTTGCGGTCGACCTGCTGAGCTATAGCTTCCGCATTCTAGTTTCGTAAGTTTATAGATTGGTAGAGTTACTGGTTCGAATCTTAGTACCTTCATGATGCGCATATTACCATCATCAGTTTTTTCTTTCTTTTTCTCCGCGGTCCACCTCCCTGCCCTTCCACCCTTCCACCCTTCCACCCTTTCAAACCCCCGATACCGAAAACCCGCTTGACACGCAGGCTGCTCGGTGTATCTCGCCGTAATGCCTCAGTACGGCAGGCTCCTAAGCTCCAGCTCCTGCGGATGGGGCTGGGGCCCGCCGGACAGCCCGTACGGCACCTTCGGCGGCGGCACTGACGACAGCCCTTACGCCGGTGGCGGCAGCGGCGGTGCTGCCGACCCGTTCGCCTCCCAGTACGGCTCCTTGCTCATCCCAATCCACGAGCTCAGGGCGCTGAGGTCGTTAGTGGGCACTGGCGGCGGCACTGGCGGCGGCACTGGCGGCGGCGGCGGCGATCTGAGCGGGCTCCAAGCTGCTATTTGTACTTGGGAGTGTGTTCGTACAATTGTCTCCCAAATGAGGGCTCAGGAGGTGGCCGTGGTAACGGACCAGGGCCCCGTGTTGGGTAGGAGGTGAGTGGGTTTGGAGGGGTTTGACTGGGCGGTTGGCGGTTGGGATGAGGTTAGCTCGGGTGCTTCTCAGTGAGAAGTTCTCACGGCCCTGGGATATCCAACCTACGGACAAATGCTGCTACCTGCCGTACCTGCGTGGTGGCCTCAGCGCTCTTTCCTTGGAGACTCAGGAAGATCCCAAGTCCACTGCGCTGGTCACCATCCGCCGGAGCCGTGTTGCTTCCCCTTTACCCCGGCCTCGGCGCCTCCCTCTCTCTCTCACACACACACACACACACACAGACAAACACACAAAAAAGAAACCCTTCCCCCCCGGGCCCCCCCGCAGCACGGGTTCCACCCCCCTGGACTGGCTCCTTACAGCTTCCTTCGCTTCCAACCTGGCTGTCGTACCGGTTGCGGGGCTAGGGGCTGGTTTCGGAGCCGGAAGCAGCGCTGCTGCCGGGCTCGGCGGTGGTGGCGGCAGCAGCAGCTTCAGCACTGTGGGCGGTGGCGGGTATGGCTGTCCTACTAACTTGGTTGGTGCGCTGCTGGTCCTGAGTCCGGTGCATGGCGAGCTGGACTCCGGTCTGCTGTGCCTCACTGCGGATGTGGCGCATGCGCTGGGAGGGGCGCTGCACTTGCGACACATGCTGGCGGAGTACCGGGCGGGGGAGCAGATCCTTTACGTGAGGAGGGCTGGGCGCAGGATTGGCTTGACGTTTTGGGGGGGGGACGGAATGTATGGCGGAATGTGTGTATTGTACGGGAGGCCGGGGAGGTGAAGGGGCTGGGTGGAAACGGCAATGGGGCTGGGTGGAAGGGTTTGGAGAGGAGTGAGTTGGGGGGAGAAGGGAAATTGCTTCGTGATGTAGTATATGTATCTTGCGATGATGATGATCCTCCTCTCCAACTCCCAACTCCCAACTCCCAACTTCCTTTCCCCGGCCGACCCTCAGGACGTTCTGCCTTCCAACGTAGCAGATGCCCTCATGTCCCAGAAGATGAATATGGACCCCAGGTACCGGAGAATATCACACGGCACATTGGCGACGAACAACATCACCACCAACACCACCACCACCAACAACAACAACAACGGCGGTAGCAATGGCAGCTATGGGACAGGCGCAAGGACGGTGTCTGGTAGCGGCCGGGGTGGCCGGCTCTCATCAGCAGGCCAGGTGGCCTTGCCGCCGCCGGAGGCGCTGGCGCCGGCGTCAGAGGCGGCTGGCGGCGACGCCGCTGCGGCGTCGGCTGCACCGGGTGTCACCAGCACCGTCAGCGGTGCTCGCGCCGATGACGGCGAGGGTGATGCGGCTACTGCTGCCGCTGCCGCCGCCGCTACAGGCGCTACAGCTCCAGCTGACCTGGCGAACCGGCACCCTGGTGGCAGACAGTTGACCGTTAGGACGAGCTCCGGCGGAGCGTTGTGTGGTGCGGCGCAGCGCCGGGAGAGCCCGACGTCATCACCGTACAACACGCTACAGCAGCAGCAGCATCCGTACAACCATCTCTTGCGGCCTCTGCCCACCCAGATGCCGCATCCGCAACTGGGAAGCGGTGACGGCGGTAGTGGTGGTTTCGGAGCTGCCGGGAGAGCGGCGGCGGCGGCGGGAGCCGTCGGCTTGGCGGTCGGATCGAGTGGTGGGACGTCGCCTATTGGCGGCGGCAGCGCGTTCTTGGGCAGTATCGGCAGCACCGGCGACATCGTATACAAGTAGGTGGAATCACCGGGTGAGGGCGAGAGCGTGCGATCGAACTATCTACAGCTATCTACAGTGCAATGCGCAATGCGGAGTTCGTTATATTTACGGTTGGGTGGTTGGTTGTTAGTCGGTGTCGGTTGGGAGAGGGTTTTTTCCGTCGTGAAAGCACAGCTGTGCTCGCTCTCGCTCGCGAGGTGCAAATGTCTTATCCAGTTTTAAGGTCTGCAATGTGGGAGCGTGCGGTTCACTTCGCATCGTGTGTTGCACACTTCCACAGCTACTAGCTAGCAGACGTGGTTTTTTTTACCTTATTTTTACCGTATTGGCCGCTCCGCAATGTCCCCTTGCCTGTTCAGGCAATGGCACGCGGGTGTTTCGGTCCTGTTCGCGGATATCGGTGAGCTCGCGGGGGGGTGGGAGGGGGGACGGGGAGGGGAAGGACCCGTCATTGGTCACCTTTGGGGGATGCTTCCCCCCCTTTTAAGGGCACCAAAGTCTCTTCTTCGTCGTCCCCTTCAGTTCTTTTTTTCTTCTTCCCTTTGCCGCCTGCATATGGCCCCCCACGGCAAGTGCAACGTTGTGATTGTTTTTGGCCCTTGACTGCCGTACGCAGTTGGTTGGACGAGTCTGGCCCAGGAGGTTGAGGCGGAGCAGGTGATGATGCTATTGCACGGTACGAAGTTGGTTAAGGGTAGTTGGGGGGTTGGTTGGACTGCAGCTATCGCTGCCAGAGGTCGGCAAATCAGTTCCCACGGCTACGGGAGGGCATAATTTCGGACCTGAAAAACCTGAAAATTTGTATGGCCGCCTTCCGGCGCCTAAAAAGGCGCCAAACAAGCATTATGAAAGGGCCGCAATGGAGGTTGCAAGTCACGTCTTTTGGTCGAAGTTTGGACATTAGGGAGCCGCAGCCTGACGGGGGCTTACGCCGAAATTCGGCTGCGGGTACTGTGGTACGGACCCGGAGTACCCGCAGGATTTGCCGACCTCTGATCACTGCCACTGCTGCTGCTACCGCTGCTTCACTTCTGCCTTTCCGTGCTGTATTTCTTCTTTCTGTTTGTTCGTTTCTGTAGTTTGCTAAGTGGTGAAACGGCGCCCCCTTATATCATCTGCGTGCCGTACAGAGCTGTTTTGCAAGTACGACGCCATTGCGGATGAGATGGGCATCTACAAGGGTGAGGGATATGGGGAAGAGAAGGGAGGGGAGGGGGAAAGAGGCCGGGGGAGGGTCCACCAAAGGTGGGCTGCCTCTGCTACTGCCTCTGCCTCCTCCGCTGCCTCTGCTGTTGCGTCGAAAGCAAGGAAAGGCAGTAGCACGTGGGGGGCGGTAATCTCAACCATGCATCAGCAAAACACATCATGGCAGACTCCTCCCCCCTCTGCGCCTCCTCTGTCGGTCCCTTGCCTTCTCCTTACCTGTGTCTTACCTGCCCGCATCCATCAGGGCTTCCCCTGCTGTTTGCTCAGCTGCGCATTCGGCTCTTCTAATCCCGCAGCGCCGCCCGACCCCACCACTATGACCGCTACGACCGCCATCGCCTACCTGTGCAATTGACCTTTCCGTCTATGCCCTCCTCTCCCTCTCCGTACATGTGTACGGCATTCTGGTACGGGCCTTCCCGGGCTGTATATTGTAATCGTTCTGCCTGCCTGCCTGTTCTACTCGCGGCTCGAATCGCTTGATGGCGCTGACGCGGCTGAACGCTGCGGGGCAGTTGAGACCATCGGTGAGCTGCCGGGCGGGCGGAAGGGGGGAAAGACGAACCACGAACGAGTGAAGGGGGGGAAGGGGGGCCTCTGCTGGCGACCCAGTTGGCAGTCCTGGATGCCTCCAATGTTCTGTTTTCAGAGGTAGCCATAAAAATGGTTCCAATAAATCCAGGATTCCTGTGATCCCCAGCAGGTGTCACAGGATTCCTCGCATCTGAGAGCCCGGGAATGTATGCATGTGTATTGAATGTGTGTGGTGATGTGTGCGCATGCGAATGGACCGGTGCGTAAACCCGAGCTGGGGGTGCAGGTGTAGTTGGTGATGGTGGTTGGTGGTTGGTTGTCGTCATGCCGCCTCGTACTTCACTGTCAATCCACGAATCACCTGCAGTACTCTCTCTCTCCCTCCCGCTGCATAATATATACATGCGCATACATACATACAGATGCACAGACGCGTGCACTGTCACACATACGCGGGATTGGGCCTCAGTTCTTTCAGACAACCAACCAGACAACGAAAAATATCGAGAAATTTTGTGATAATTTCACCATTCAAACAAAGCTCCGCTACCACTCGTATGTTTACATATGAATCCGCATCTTCAATTTTTAAAACACGCAGCACTTGATACTCGCGCTCACAAACGCACCCCCCCCTTTTCCCCCCTCGGCAGGCGACTGCTACATGGCGGCATCCGGTTTGCTGACAGAGGACCGCCATCACGCCGCCTCCCTGGTGGCGTTTGGAAAGGGGATCATCCAGGCCGCAGCCTCGGTCCACAACCCCAAGACGGGAACTGGTGTACAGGTGAAGGAGTTAGATGGGTGGGAGGGTGGGTGGGTGGGAGGGAGGGTCTGGCATGCGCTGCTGCCTAGCTCTGGGGTAGGTGGTGCGAGGAGGATAGGAATTCACGCCGGGAAATGATGCGAGGGTGCCGTACATGTTGCCGTGAATGTTGTACGGGTATGGGATATGTTTGGCACTTCATGCTGTTTCCTCCGCCTCCGCCTCTGCCGCTGTCTCTGCTTCTGGCTCTTCTGCTTCTGCCAGCGTTTTCCTTAACGGTTGACGGAATGAATTCCCCTTACCTCCTTCACGTGAACGGGAATATACGTACGTACATACAGATGTACGTGTATACACCTCACATACGGTACAAGTGCGTATATGTGCGTGTACACTGACCAAACGCGCTCTCCCCCCTCTCCCTTCCCCTCGCTGCCTCCTCTCTAAGCAACCCTCCACTGCCGCCGCAGCCGCCTCTTACTCCTCCTCCTCCTGCATCTCTGTATGTGTGTCTGTATGTACGTATGTCTTTGGGTTCCGGAGCAGATTCGTGTCGGTGTCCACTCGGGTCGCGTCATGAGCGGCATCGTGGGGCGTCATCGGGCCCGGTACTGCTTGTTTGGAGACACGGGTAAGCAGCGGCGGGATTTTCGACGGGTCATTTTCCCCACCCACCCGCATACACACTCGCACACGAAGCCATGTTGCTGTCTCGATACATTTTGACAACCCCCCCCCGCACACACACACACACTCCACCCTGGTAAAGCTACACCCCAAAGTACCATCCTCGCCAGCTCTTGCCCATGTAGCTCAAACCAAAAATAACAGTCACCTAGTACCGCTTACCGATAGAATGCTGTTTGAGAGTCGGGGCGGGTGGTAGGTTGTGAAAAAGGTTAAACGAGAGTACGGAAGGTAACTCTGCTGGCTGCATTGCTGTACACGTAGAGGAGCGGAAGGCCGCATGTTCGCTTTCTCGAACCTACCTGTGTTTCATCAACCCCGCTCTCGTACCCCGTTCCCCGTCAGTCTGTCCATCTGTCGGTCGGCGGGTCGGTCGCTCTCGCTCTCGCGCATGTAAACTATATCCCTATCTCTATCGATTTCCCGGATGTCTGTTGGTCTGTTTGTTTGTCCTCTCCCTTTCCTTCGCAGTCAACACGGCCAGCCGCATGGAGAGCACCGGAGTACCCGGCAGGATTCAGGTCAGGGGATGCATGTGCTTCGTTGCATCGGGTACACAGCCGTGTAGTGCACCTTGCCTTGTGTGCATATATGGGGTTGGGGGGTTGGGGAGCTGGGGGGTTGGGGGAGTAGGTAAGGTCCCGTGTGTGAGGTGTGGCTTTGCGGAATATGGCTATGGGTGTGAAACAGGCGGGAGACATACAGAATAGAGATGGACGGAAGGACGGACAATGAGCTGCGTTAGTTAAAAGGGTGAAAGCCAAAGGGCGGATGGGATTTTGGGGCAGGCAGGAAAGTGGGGGTTGTGTAGGTGTTTATGCATGTCACTATACCTGGGCCTTAATAAAAACCCTAAAAACCGAAACAAACTCGTACGATTGCGTTCGCATAGCGGCGTTCCAGGTTTAGGGACCCTCCGCTGCAATGCGGAGCGGGCCGCGGACTAAATAATCTGTTCTGTGCACGGCACTTGCAGGTTTCGGAGGTAACGTACTCGCTTCTCCTGTCTCATCCCACCCCGCTGGCCGGCGCGGATGACTTCGAGCCGCGCGGGGAGGTGCCGGTCAAGGGCAAGGGTCTTATGCGTACGTACCTGTCGTACGCCGTACTGGAGGATCTACAGCCCGCGCCGCTGTCGCAGTACCATTCGATCTTGCCGCCGTCGCCGAACTCACCAGCTGTGGCGCTACAGCTGCAGCAGCAGCAGCATGACGGCCACCACCACGGGGAGCTGCAGTAGCTATCAGCACCCGCAGATGCAGCAGCAACAACTCGCAATACCTGCAGCAGCTGCAGCGGCAGCGACTCACATCAAATTCACGTTACAGGTACAGCTGCCATCGCAGCGCATGACCCGAGAGATGAGCTCCAGGGCGGGGGAATTCCTATTCTGAGAGAATCGACGCACCGCAGTCGCTTTTCCTTTTTGAATGCGCGATTCAAAAAGGAAAAGTGACTGCGATGCGTTGATTCTCTCAGAATAGGAATTAATAGCTGACCTGACCGCACAAACATGTTTTTGGATGTCCTGCGGAATGGGCAGCATTGGACGCGCACCCACGGGATGCAAGCATGAGCACTACCAGCACCGTCAACATGACCATCACCACCACCAACAACATCAGAAGCAGAAGCAGCAGAAGCGGTGGTGGCACCGGGAGCAGCATATCAACATAAATGTAAGATGGCGGGCATGTTGGTTAACACAACGACGTGGCCTTGGCATGGGTTGAACCTGTAGGTAGGGCTACGTGCTTTATTTACCTATTTACCATCTATCTGCTTGCAGTTTTACACCCTCGCCTTGGCGGAATGCGGATATTATCGCAGCCATGCCGGGACGGATGTATCGTACTCGTATATGTTTTCCAATTGTGGGAGCATACGGTGGCGTGGCGCAGTCCAGCGCTAGGCTAGTATCTTTGCTGCTGCTGCGTTAGCGTTGCTGACTATTTGGACGGTTTCGCTCTGGTGCAGGAGCTGTAAGCAGCAGTACGGGTTTTATATCCACTTGCGATGCCTTGCAAAAGTTTGAAACAGCGAAATGGTGAGCTTGAAGGCACAGCATAAAAATCGCCGTATCCGTCACAGCGCCTGGTTATAACATACCATGTCTTACCACCGCCGGCAGTGAGCAGGAGTTCAGCACCTCTGACACGGGGGTTCAATACAGGTGTCCTGCCTGCATTGCCTTCCTTCTCGTCGCTTTATCATCCCCAGACTTCGAGACCATTATCAACTGACCATTGTACCTCTCCATGCAAGTTACTAGTCCCACTCCAGCCAACGGAGATACATTCCTCCCACTTACATCATGGGCAAAGCTCGTCGCTGGACAGATCGCCAAAATCATAGCACCGGCCCCATCGTTGGCACCACCTTCATTTGTCGGCACTTTCTGCGTCGCTGCCAGGTCTTTTCGTCTACTAGCCCTAGAAGCATACGCAGCTCCGTACCTGACATCCTGCCTATCTACCTACCTGCCTGCCTGCCTGTCGTCCGCACATCTATCTTCCTACCTATCTGCATGTGTAGCAGCCAAGATATCGACACTCGCAATCACATGTAAAGCATTTTCTTACGACCTTTTAACACAAAATAATAAGGGAAAAGGATTCACAAGCAAGATAAGATAAGTAACTCGGAATATCGAATGGGGAAAATGAACAACACAAAGCAAGGCAAGCAGGGACGAGACCCTGATGACAAGTAACCAGGTAGCAAGACAATTACCGACCAACAAATAAATCATCAGCACTCCCTCCAAATAATAATGGAACGCCATTGCGAACGACAAAAACGTGGCTGTACACTTCATGAACATTATTCCCCGGCGGCCTATACACACCCTGCTGCTTCTCGTGCTTCACCTCGTCTGACTGGATACCCAGAACGCGTGAGTGGCCGCCAAAACACCGTCTACCGCTACACCTGTTATGTAACCAACAGGCAGCAGCTATACCAGTGCAGCGCACATCGTGATGAATTATGTACATGTATAGCAGCGTGGCCATGGCTTCCGTCAGGATCCCCGGCCTTTTATTCCAATATACACCTGAAGCACGGCCGCGGCGGCACCTAAGCGCCCCGCCAGCCCCAGCGCTGCAACTCAGATAGTATAACGCAAGCCGTTGCGAAGTATGGAACGGCTATGCCTATATAATGTCACTTACCCAGCAAAAGCAGGCTGTACGTCTTCCCATCTTGAAGGCTTTTATCTCCGTCATGATGACAATCCTGACAAACGCTTCATCTTAAAAGGATGATCAATGAGTATGCGACACGCGCCTGTGCATAATCATGACAATACGCACGCACATGTGCAGAGACAGGTTCTGACCCCTAGAGATAAGGTCGAGCAACCTATACACAAATACTATCACAATCATGTGAGGGCACCCCTAGGCTCTCCCATGCAGGCTCGCCCAACAATGGCAACCCGGAGCGTCCAGTGCTGCTTCAATCTTTGGTGCTTCTCTGGAACCTGGTTTCAGTGGATGCGCCCGCGCTCGAGCTTGAATTGGCGCGGATGAGCCCTCAAAGCTCCGCCTTGCGACCCGTGGGCCAGATCAGCTCCGCAACCAGGTCGTACACACCCGAAATGTACTTGATTGTCATCCCAGCAGCCCTGCATGCCACGCCAGCGAATATATGTATATGCCCCGCGTGTGTTCAATGTCGCGCATTTTTTGAAAGGGGGGGATCCTGAAAAGCTGGAGTTCCAGCAATTACCGCCGGTTGCGTTCCCCAGAGAGGTGTAACGAGGCCATAAGGGCCAGAAGATAGATTAGGGACGACGTACAACGCAAACACTCCTAGAACCCAAGCAATATGCACAAGAGAACAAAGACGTTAATCTATCATCGGTGTATTTTCTCTACACGCGGTGCTGTCAAAACGTCGCAGCAATCCTCAACCACGACATAGTGACGTTGTAACGCTGCTACAGGGAGCAGTCAAAACTCCCGCGTTGCACAGACTCCCACGCGCCACAGTATGTGTTCTGGCGTTAACGATATTCACTTGCAAGCTCGTACACGGCAATTAACAATACGGCCATACGCCCCACCTGAAGGACCTCTGCTGCCGCGCCCCCAGGTGCATGCTAACCGCCGTGGACCAGCGAATCTCCGCCTTGTCCGGCAGCTGTCCGGTGCTCAGGTTAAGCGGTGCGTCGTACAAGAGCTTCAGGTGCAGGACCTCGCCCATGTACCTGCTCAAGCGCGCGTGCAAGCTGGTGGTTAGCTGGATACAAAGTTCTCCTTGTCAGGGCCAGCGCACGCAAAACAAAATGCACGCTGTAAGAGAAAATTAGTAGAGGCGACGAGCCGATGAATTATTCGTAGTGAAGGCACCCAGACGCGCAGGACGGTGTAGGCAACGCATTACAGGCGGAAGGCAGCTACACGCAACTCGATGGTCTGAGACGCCTTTAGTGATGGGCATCGCATGGGGGGTAACCGCATATATGGGGGGTTAACCGCAATAAACTCGTTAGGCCTTTCGCCTCGGGAACGTATCCGTGTGGACGGGGCCCGGCACGCACCTGCCCAACGGGGTATACCCCGGGTCGGTGATGGGTAAGCCCAGGCGCCACAAGCACCTCGACATGAAGGCATCGCCACCTTCCGGAAACGACATCACGGATGTCTCCGGGTCGTTGATGCACCCCTATGTATGTCGGCATCGTATATGCATGCGTGCATGTGCAAACGGTCAGAAACAGCCTCGGATGGTAAACAACTTCTTAACCAATAAAAAACAAGGTATGCGCCTTCGTCTTGTTTTTTAATCTCGTGCAGACCCGGGTCCGCAATTAGCTGTACCGCCGACCCACATCACAAAATGCGCACATGTCTATAGCCCTGCCCTTGATCCGTCGTGGCTGATTTATATGGCCCCAGCCTGCCCTCATTCTCTCTCCCTCCGTTCCCACCTCATAAGCCCGAAGTCCATTGCCGCCACGCGCCGCTTTCAGCGCCTTGAAGAAGCCAATAGAAAAGATGAAGCCCACGCCACCGAACGGCACCGGACCCTCCCACTCCGTCTGACACCGCGTCTCGTTACCCGGGAATCGCTTCTTGCAAAGCGCCTGTGCGACACATTAATCAGAATGAGGAGTGACGAGCCACAGCGATACGACAGCAAAAGACTTGAGACAGGCAAGCTACGTGCAAACGGCGCTTCCCTCACCCGTTTTTCCACGTCTTTCACAGCCCGGAAAGCGCACCTCAACGCTACATCCGCAGCCCTTGGGAACCTTGTCATTTCCACCAGCCGGTCCCTCCACCTCCACATCGCCGTCCTTGCCGGCACCACTCGCCAGCAACCGCCGCGCTGCCGACCGCCGCCACCTTCCCCACGGCCCATGACAGGGGTAGCAACGCATCTCCCACACGCCGGGCTGCGGTGACTTGGATCCCACGTACATGGAATCCGTGATGAAGTACGGCAGCTGTGGATCGTAATCTCGCAACAGTGCCTTGACGCCGCGCATGAAAAAGATCGTATCATCGTCCCCCGATAGCATCCACAGAAATGGGTCGTGGCCATTACCCGTATTGCTATCGCTAGGTGGCACGGATGGCTCCGGCCAGCCGGGCTGCGCTGAGGATTGCCCGCCGTCATTCGCGGCTGCCGTGGGTAACGGCTGGGTCCATGGCGTCATGGCCGAGGCGTTCGTAATGGCCGCATAAGCTAGGATCGGGGTCATGGCGGCGCGGCGATCCCCCTCCAGATAGTGATCTCGCTTGTCATTGGCCATGCGACGATAGTTGGGGAACCATGCGTAGGATTCTCGATACCTGAAGCGTGGCCCGGATGCGAAGGATAGGGTGCGGGAACTCATTAGGATGGATGGGAAAGAAGGAGAAAAAGTTTCAGGGGGATCGGGTATAAGGAATAAAGAATGTTACAAAGGCATCAAAAGACGGGTGAGCGCCGCAAAGCTTACCTCGCGGCCCCAGCAACTGCTTCAGGGAGTAACTTGTCCTGTGGCGTGTCCAAAACGAACACCCCGCGCATGCCCTTCCGCCAGTAGCGACTAGCCTGGGCCAGCTGTAGGCGTTGCGGTGAGGATGGAGCCACAAAGATGAAGTCTTCGTTCCGCAGTGAACGGCGATCAGGGTTGGGTTTTGGATCGGGATCGGGATCGCCGTCTAAAAGGAGGTCGTCGCCAGAAGCCTGCTTGAGCGATCTGCTCCCTTGCGCAGATTTTACAGATTGTGCCAATTCTGGGTCGCTGCTGTCCCATAGTGGCCCGAGTAGGCGAGGCTCTGCCGAGTCCGGAAGAACAGCTCTCTTGTCCTTAGCATCCCGGAGAAAACCCAGGACACGACCAGCATCCATGCCATCTCGGATAGCTTCAGCCGTGGGCGAAACGGTGATTATGACGGAAATTATAAGACAAAGCGCGGCATGTCGTCGTGAAGCCATGTCGCGGGTGGCCTAGCAATTCTTTAGGCTATGTTGTCCACGTGGATAGGAATAGTACCTACATAGCATACAACGTCCATCAGCATCTTCCGAAGGCAATCCAGGGAAATGCATGATCACCGCCCCCCACCTTTCAAAGTGCGCGTCAACTTACACGCAAGAGGACATGTAAGGTCACGATGACTCCTACGTTTTGAAATAGTTTGCGAGCACGGGCTTGTATATTTAGTTCGAAAGTTTGCGGACGGAGGTACAGTAATCAACAGAGCGGAGGTAATGAGTTTTATATTTAGGTTGAGAGAACGTATAAGAATGTGTTTGATGTATGTATAAATACTTTGACGTGTTTTATTATGCCAAATTACGAAATTCCTTTAGGCCTGCCGTGCCGCCTTCATGCCATGCGCAAGGCAGCTACCGCCGAACGAGTTGGTTGTACGAAGCGTTAAAGGGGAACCCTGTAATGTCATGCATAACAATTTGCATAACATGCTTAGATTTACAAGGATTGGTCGTAATCCTTTGCCGGCGCTGGGTCGCCATCTGGCCAAAGTTCGTTGGCTGTTAGCGGGTAATATGTACCGTCCCGGCAACGGGATTCAGCTTCAGGTGACAATTTTAAGCATAACTACAAAGCCATTAATATTCCATCCTCCCTTCGTATTCGTTCATCTCATACATTTGTACCGTACAGACAAACAATTATAGATTTTGTAAACATGTAACCTAGGAGGTTCGCTGTGCCACCAGCCCGTAATGTTCTTTTGATGGGCGATCATTGACCTTTGGCTTGCCGCAGCACGGATTAACGGCTCCATGCTCAACTACGTCGTCAGTTACACTCCCAAACCTAATCTGCTACTCTGTTCGATATCACGCCGTCTTTTGGGATCCTGATAGCGGATTACGTCCCATTACCCCATAGTACATCACGAGCTGTCCCATCACGACCATAAGCGTCTCACTCCCTGCCACCGGTCCCCTGCCACCGGACGAAAGCACCAGGAAAGCATCTGATCAAAAATAAGTAATGTTGAAAATACACCCGCTCTGGCTATCTCACTTCGGTTTCTAAAAGCACTTGCGACTAGTTAAACAAAACCCCCCAACGGCTCTTCCCATCCATCAGCATCCGTCAAGGAGATGTAGCCAGAATGCACACAAGCACGCGACACCACGCACGTTCCGGCCTAAATTCTGGGTTCTTTCAAAGCTACCGGATTAGGGCACGGGCTCGGTCCAAGATGCAACACGACCTTGACGCGGCGCTGTTTCTGCGCCTCTCCTTCCTACACAGCATAACTCACCGGTTGCAACTCATCTGCAAACGCACAAAGCCACACTTTAGAACACGCCGTCTACACCATATGCAAGTCCTTGAGTATGCTCAACACACAGCCCTGGATCCTTGGCAACCCAGCACACCTTCATCCCTCCCCTCCACCCAATCGCACCATGAACAGGCGACAGTGGAGGCATGCCTCTTTCAACTCACCACTCCAAAGCAAAATATGACGTGCCATTGCCAATGCTAACACACCATAGCTATCGCTATTAGTGCTGAGGCATCAGTATAAACCGCGCGGCTAATTTGAAGTTGCTAGCAATCCAGTCATTCCGTTCTGGATGCAGCCTCTGCACCGGGTCTTGCGGACGTGTCCTTCCGAACTGTCACCGTGACACGGCCCCGCCGAGCGGTCTTCCCACCACCACCACCACCGCTGCCGTAAACTCGCCGCGCACTACCGGTCGCCCCTTCCCTGCGGAAGGCACCTGCAGTGGCGGCTGATTGTTGCCGTGTACGGGTGTTAGGCGCTGCGACTTCAGGACTGTACGATGGCATCCGTACACCTGGCTGCCAAGCCGTTTCCGTATTGACATCGCCCTTGTCACTGAACTCGCCCATGGCATTCTTCGTAAAGCTGCCAGCACTGCTGGCGTCAATATCTTGATCCGTGGCGGCGCCGTCACTCGTGCTGCCGTTGCTGCCGCAGCTAGTGCTCGCGTCGTCGCCTGTCGTGGAGAAAAACACATCCAACTCGTTGTCGAAGTCTGGCACGTGCCGGCGCCTGGCGCGCTTCTCCACTCGATGAGCACGCTTTGCGGCAAACGCGGCGTCGGCGGCAGAAATGTC